TTGTAGTTTTGGAAAGAAAAGGGATAGACATGCAGTAAATGGCCTGAGGTTGGCAACCAAAGCTAGCAGAACGGACCCATACGGCGCTCTGCACAAACAAAGTCTAAATGATGAAAAAATACTTCACTTTTAAATCAGATTTAGCCGCAGCTATGATGTCTGTTAAGAGTTAACAGGTTGTTACGCTTATTTCCAACAAATGAATAATGTAAACAACGAAACAGACAAAAAAAAGCTCAATGCTAATGCAATGCTAATGCAAAACCTAAAAAAAACAATAATCAGATTAATCGTAATTAATTGATTATTGAACGTATCGTCTAGTAATTTAGAGATCAATTAATTGTTAACTGGAAAAAAATAACCCCTCTTTAATATGTCATTAGCTATACGAGCAAAACAGAGAGGTGTAATTTTACATACATTGTAAAAACGAACAGATATTTTAAATTCATGATAAAAAAAAAAAAAAAATCTTTGTCCAGCAATATGCTCTATCCAGAACTCCATAAAATGCGTACCTGAATATTAACAAAAAGATAATAAATAGATTACGGTAACTGAAAATTAGGCTAATCTTTAGTGGCTGCCCTAAACTGAAGTGAGAAATTCATAAAATTGTATATAAGGACGCCCCTTATAAGTACTTAAGATTGAAGTTTTCATAAACTTGTTAATTTTGCAAAGTTTGTTGTTAATAATTTGTGTGCAGTCAAATTATTAGCCTAACTCTCTCCATGTTGGCTAGGAATAGCTAATATTAATGCAACGTCCTCAGCGACGATAAAACTAATTCCCTCAACTATGTTTAGCAACTGGCCAATAGTTGCCTCTGACAAAAAGGTTAAAAGATAAGAAAACAATATGTATCTACCCTAATTGTAGAGAAATAGCTAGTTTGAAGTTTAATTTCTCTAATTTCCTGCAGTGACAAAAGATGCTACAGTGCTAACGTTAGCATGCAGTGCTAATGCTAGCTTGCATGTAAATAGATTTAGATTTCATTCCTTTGAGCCACAACAAAGGCCTTTAGGGTTTTTAACTAATAAAAAGATGTAATTCTTTGGTTTTCCTTTTAATCTTATGTATATATTGCATTGTTTTCTTTGTATTCCTCCCATTATGAATTAATGACAAAAGTATTTGAAGTTAATGGTTTTTTTTCTAGAGTTTGATAATGACCTGATAAAAACAACAATCTGAATTGAGAGGAATTTTACTCTTTTCAGGTGAAAATATTGAGAAAAAAGGTTTAAAAGCCAGAATATTTAGAGATCATGCAATTTTTAATGATTTATTAAATATTTTGGGAGAAAAATACACTTCTAATTAATGTGGAGTTGTTCTAAATGACTAACTAAAAACATCAATGGCTGGCTCTGTATCTTATTCTTGTGAGAAGGTGACATGAGTGAATAGGAAACCTATTTTGGTGTAATAGAGAGGAGGCCTTAAAATTCAGCTTTTCAAGGGGGTTTTAGAGCGCACCGTTCCCTGTTTTAGCTCTTGGTTTACTTCCTACTCCTTCTGAGGAGAGAGAACACATTGATCAACACATTTTAAACAAATGAAAAATTCCTATTTAACTGCAATAGGCGTTTTAAGCAACTTCTCTGGATCTTTAAGGTCTGAACTACGGTCTGGGAATAATATATTTTAATTATATTCAAGTTTTTCAGTCACTGGAATTGGCAATTATTCAACTTCCATGGATCTTTTTTTGTCTTTTGAATGTATTTTTGGCTAAACTGAAAATTAAAAATGTCAAGTTCTTTGCAAAATCTTGTTAAATAGTTAAATTGAATTTTCCAATTTATCATCCAATGTTGATTCATCATAATATTTTTTAGCTTTTTCCTTAATGACACAGTGCTGCATGACAAAATAATAAAAAAAAATTTGTATTGCAAAGTAGAAACTTGTGACTTTGTCTTGGAGTGAGATCTGTTTTAAAGAAAAGGAGTAGTGGAATATTTCAGTTTTCTTGCTTAACAAGATTAAGATATCTGTGGTTCTGAATTGCACTGTTTGATCGGCTCTATCCTTTCCTTATGAGCAATATTAAAAAGAACGTAATGGTGCTGCTTCATCAGTTGTGAATTTGAGATGGGTTTCCGGGAAACTCTAGGATATCAGTTATATATTGGAGTCATATAGCTCTGGTTTAGTTTTTTTTATGTTTCGCTCAAGCACAAGTGGGAAACAGGGATAAAAAGAATTTATCAGCTATACTTTGTGGTTCTTTTTGCTTTTTTTAAACTCTCTGTGTGATCAGTTATGGAACTAATTACATTTTAATATAAACTCTAATTAAACATTACAATTCAGCTACAGCATAATGCCTTTATAAAAACAGATCCCCTGCTTCTACACAGCTACCAAATATCCAGCAAATAACCTATGACTCTCCATGTAAAGAGAGCTTAGATTATAAAGACAAGTCATCACAAGATGTGTGTTATGTCTAATAGTATTAGCTGTACTTCTCTGGCTATCAGAAAAAAATATATCATAGCTGTTTAAACAGTAATACAAATGAATGTCATTAAAACGTTGCAGCAGAATTAAAACAAAAGCTAAAACCTCTCAGGAGCATAAACACGCCAGTTACTGTCACAGGTTAGACACAAAACATGCTAATCCAAAAGTGAAATCCACTCACAAATGAGTGGATTCTGGAAATAAGGTGTCACTTTCTCTCAAGTTCCACTCAGCAGGTAAAAGATGAAGCTGAAGGCTGACAAATTTTAACAGGACAGAGAAGAAAGTCATTAATCAAAGCTGACGGAGGCGCGGTGTGGAAAGATGCCGAGAGAGGCGTTGTTTACCCTCATAATTTAATAGATGATAAACTTCCCAGTGAATCTAAATCTGTGAAGCTGACAGGAAGTCGAAAACTGCTGGTTTTCCCTTTTGCATGCAGAGGATTGTTTATTATTGGATTCCCAGAAAATGTTCCTGCATATTAGCAGTAATATCCACTGAGATGCTCTGTTTGTGTTGCTGGGATATTGCAAAAACAAGAGTGCTGTAACAATAATACAGGTCAGAGAAAAAGTTCTGATTTTTTTTAGGTTATCGAAAGAAAGTCTTACAGCTAGTCAGTTAAACACTTAAAAAAATGTCTGTGCTGGATTGCAACTTCAAGGAAGGTAATAAGTAGTAGTAGTTAATATAAGGTCTATTAAAGTAGAAAAAAAAATGGATGTCATTTTATGTTTCTTTAAAATGGCGTATAAGCTCAAAAATGGCAGCGGTAGGTAACCGCCTGGACCTGGGCAGCCAGGTAACCAGTGGGAACCCGGCAGCCTAGCCTCAGTTAATCCGTCCCCTCCCCATTGTGACGAAAGGTTGTACTGAAACTGTAATTTCCCTCTGGGATTAATAAAGTATGCCTGATTCTGATTCTGAAAAGACAAAAAATGGAGCTAACTTCTGCAATGCTAACACTTAGCATGGCTAACAATACCAAAGCAGAATTCTTTATATATACTTACTAGAAAACATAGTTGCTCACCTATATTCTGAGATTATTTCAAAAGCTTTCCTAATAATCTAAACTCCATAAGATTCTATAATTCTGTTCAGCCTTATTGTTATCTGCTTCAAGTATTGCTCTCTCTCGCTATTTGTAACCAAAAAGAATAGCAAAAAATCTTTCAGATGTAAACAATCTTCTGATTTATGATTTGTCGATGCTCTCTGCTTACACTTTTGTGAAAATATATGTGAAAAACTCAACTGTTTATTTTGTTTACTGTTTATTCTTGATACATTAACATCATCCACATAAGAGAGCACAGAAACACGTAACATAGACAATAATTACTAGTCAGAAGAAGATCTGTTAAAGATCTACTTTGGTTGAATCCGTCAGCTGTATCAATGTGCCTTATTATCTGCCTTCTCTAACTCCCCCAAAAAAAGCATTGTAAAGAGCCAATCATTTCAAAGATGGTGGAGTTGTGTTTTTCCAGGTGTCTTGAAATGATTTGAGGGGACTGATTATCTGGTTGTCAGGCAGACTGATAAAGGCAACCTCAATCAAAGTAGCTTTGTGTCATAACATGGACGATATTCAAATAGGAATAAAAACAAATTAAAACCCCACAACGTCTTTTGGAAGTTTAAATGGATCATATCTACTGAAATTACATCGTATTCAACTCCTGTAAACAACTCAGATCAGCTAAATGGGGAACATCTGACTAGTTGTTAGCCTTGACAACAACAAGAGTTTATTTTCACTTTTCCCTTAAACTCACTTTGACGTCCCATGGTTTGGTAAGGGCGATATCACTGATGACAACTTCAGTTCAACAAATCCAAACTAATAGGTTCCTACCCCCGTCAAGACTGCACAGATGGTCAACACAGTTACTAATCAGGTGCTAACATATGGACAACATTTTTGCCCAACTTTAGTGAACTGATTAGACAAAAGCAATGAAAAGACAGAGGCAATGTAATTAGAAAATTAAATTTAGATTAACTGATAAAGGGAAGTCGTTGGTAGCTTAACTGTGAGCTGAAAATAGAGTAGAGTTCTGGAAATAAGCAAAGCTTAGTGAAGCAGAGCCAAGGGACGGTGCCCAAAGCTCTATCAGACATGACAGAGAGATGCAGGCGAAGGGACCTGGCACTTCTGCCGGGGAGACTGGAATCTCATTTTGGAATTTCTAATCTAGACCCTGAAGTTTCAGCGAGGGAATCCATCCAGGCGCACGCATGGCTGCGAGCTGAATGAGAGGGGGAGATGAATGCACTGTGGAAGAGGCGAGAGAAGTGAGGTGGAGAGGTGTGGAGTTGTTTATACACTCAAATGAGGCTGTTGGAGACCGGTTGGTTGGAAATTGGACATGATCAATTTCCCCACTTAGGCAGGGGTGGAGCTGTGTGTAAAATTGCAAATGCCGATTAAGCAAGCTCTGAATGTTTTATGTGTTTAAAGTCTGAAATAATATATTAACCCTTTTTTTTTTTCCTTTTTCACATAACAGAATACCAAGGCGACTATTACGGACCAGGGAGTAACTACGACTTCTTTCCCCATGGCCCCCCCTCCTCACAGGCTCAGTCTCCGGCTGAGTCCCCCTACATCCTGACTTCTGGGCCAGGAGCCATAGAGGGATCGGGCCACCACCCATCAGATGACCAAAGGTACACGGACATGATTTCTCATGCGGAAACCCCAAGCCCAGAACCGGGCCTACCGAGCTCCCTTCAACCGGTCCCGGGGGACGCATACGGGGGTGGACCCAGCCCCCCTTTCTCCTTGGCCAGTAACTCCAGCTACAGTGCTCCGATGTCCCACCAGGGCCAGGAGATGGGGGAAACAGCCGCCTGGTGAAAGGACAAAAACAAAAACCAGGGACCAACCATGGGCTGAATCTCTGCCCAGCTAATTCAGGAGACGTTCCAACGTCAGAAGGGGAAAGTACTGCTGATATTTCTAAGGTGAACCTTCTAAAAACTATAGGCTAATCTTAACGACCTAAGAACTAATGGAAAGAATGAAATAACAAGCAGGAGAAAGAAATTTCGCTGCATGGTAGACACTACAAAGCATTTCCTTCGTTGGGCACTGGACTGAATAAGAGATTCCATCCAGCAGAAATGCTTCTCGCCTTCCCCTTATCTTCTAATGCTCTAGGAACACATTAGTAAGAAACACCAAAGGGGACATGTCTAGTTTTCCTAATTTCACACTGCATTTAAAAAAAAAAACATTGCTCAAAAGCAATTTCAATTCTCACTTTATCTCCATGTTGCCACTGATTTTAGACCTCAGCATTCATACAAAAATGCATCCGTTGCCATCGAAGCAATGTATGTTCAAATCCATTTTCAACATTTATATTATTTTTATTCCCTTGTAAGACAATACATCAAATCAACGGCTGCTGCTTGACAGACACGCACTGACTTTCCCCTCACACATCCTGGCTTAGAGTCCCTTAATGCAGAAAAAGTGTTCTTGATCATAGCTTGAAAGAAGGATGTCTATACTATTATTCAAAACACGAACACAATTATAGACACTTGTGCTCTCCTACACACAGACACACACACACTGCACACCCATCGAGGCGGCCCTGATAGTTCTGCTCCGCTCACTGCTTCACCTGACCTTCCTTTTGTTACTGTCCCTTTTAAAAAAACATGTTTTAATGGAAATGATTTTCAAAAGAACATTGAACCCATAATGGAGAATGTCCTTCAGCAGCTGAGGTCTCCTTCCTCTAAAGGCAGAAAACAAAAGAGGGGACAGACAACATCTGTGACATTTCAGCTGTTTCCTTCGAGGTGCGGGTTGCCATCTAGTGGCCGCTTTTTCAAAGCACACAGGGTCTTCAGTTCCATCTGATCTGATTTGGGAGCTTTAATATTTATTTTTTTTCCGTTTCCTATCCTGTAATGGTTCAGACATGTCAATCTGGGGCTACTGTATTTTCTTTTTAAAGACAAATTCTACTAAATCCCCAATTTCAGTTCAGCCTTTCCTCCCTCAGCGCCGCCTCAGACACACAGGACGTCTCACACACTGAATTAGCTGTACTATTGTTTTCAGATCATTTGTGTTTTCCCTTGGACATTGTATAAGATCTAGAAAGATTGTGTCTTATCTCCAGAAATGCTCGGATACAAACCAGTGAGTTAGTGTGCATGTGGTGGATGCTTGAGTGAGTGTGTGTTGGTTTAAAGGGGGGAGGGGGTGAAAGGGGGGGGCAAGGCTGTATTATTTCTATGTAAATAGCACTGATAATAAAACCTCTCTTAAAACGTAAAAGTCTGTTGTGTTTTTTTCGTTGTTTCCTTTGTTTTAGCAATGAACTCTGCACTAATTGGCTGGACTATAATTTTGGTTGCTGAGGGTATAATCTATCTAATGTTTAGTTTGGCCATTAAGATCTTAAGAATAAACACGATAAGCTTGTATAATGTAATGAAATCTCTGTAAAGCTAAGCACCCCTTATTATGCAAAGTGTTTCAATTAACTCATCCCAATCAACTGTGATAAACAAAAGCAGGGTAAATGGCCTAAAATAGACACATTTCCTTGAAGGTTCATTGGGCTCTTGCTTCCATTCCAAGTAAACTACATCAAATGTTAAAAAAACATTAAAAAAGAAACCTTTTGCAAAAGCTGTAAACTAAAACCAGTTCTCCTCTCAGATGTGCTGTTGTAGAACCGGTTTAATTTAACTCAGCAGAATTGGATTAGAAGTTTCATCCAGCAAATAAAATCTTTGTTATATTTTCAATACCAAACACTAAAATAAAGGAACGCAAATACGTTCCTTATCTAATACACTGCAAGAAAACAATCTGAAATTAATTAAGATGTTTTAAAAATACGTTTATTTTCACTTATTTTGAGCAGGTAAATACGTTCTGCTAATGGAATGTGGATTTTTTTTGTGCTTAATTTATTTATATATCCTGCACTTGAAGTGAGATAATGAAGTTGTTTTTTTCTAATTTCCTACAGAAATCATTATATTCCGTTGGCAAATTGTCTTGATTATCTGCACAATACAAAGAGGGGGGAAAAAAAACCTATTTCAAGCAAACGTGTCTTTATAATTATTTATTTTTTTTGGAAGGAATATTGAACGTTTCCTAAAGCTAAAGCTATTGGGTATACTTTAAAATTTAAGATATCTCCATATTTTCTTTGGTTAAATATTCATTAAATGGTGAAACAAATCAATAACATTAAAGGAACATAAAAGGGTAATAGAGCAATAGAATCTACCAGAACAAATAAGAAAAAAAATGAAGTCTAAGTTCACATCTGCTTGCTACTGACTGATTGAAATAAAAGAAAATCAAACATATACATTCTCAGAGTAAGAGTAACACTGAAAGGCTGCTAAGGGATGGCAAAGAACCAAAAGATGATTAGTTTCCATTATGCTCAAAGGGAAATTTTTCTATTTAAAATATTTTTTTTTTCAGTCTTACATCAAGAAGAAAAATAGGAAGTCATACCGATCTCTCAAAGTGCTTTACACTACAGCCTATTCAACCAGATTTGAACATTGATTCACAGACTGGGAGGCAAATCTGGGTTAAGTGTCTGGTGACAAGGGTAACCTGGAATAGAGGCCTAAAACTGTCTGACTGTAAGACAACCTTTACCCACTGAGCCATAATTATCCATGGCTGAAAAAAAAAATACTTTTTTTAGAGGTTAAAAAGATAATCTGAGCTCCGACAGTTAAAAAGGTCCCTGCTGGTTCATGTGTGCACAAAAGAAAATTAAACACTATATTAACAAGACAGGAAGATAGGCCTGTTATGATGTTATCCAGGGTTTCCTGCCCTGGATGGAAAACCATGTGACCTATATGAAAAACCACCATCATTTTCTGGCGGGTCTGATTCTAAGCTGCTCAAAAAATAAATAAATAAATAAATCGCTCAATTTCCAGCAGCCATCACTGCAAAATGATGCTCACTTGCTAGCATTAATAATCTGAAATTTGTCTCAGCAACCCATGCTGGTGGTTTTACTAATGCTTCATATGCTTCAGAGCAGAGTGTAAAATAAAACTGGGACCCATCCCTTTAACCGTGACAACGGTGATGGAGTCCCCACACAGCCATGAGGCACACACAGGAAATCCAAGCTTGACTTCAGACCAGTACCTCAGGCAATCTGGTCCCTTTCCAGATCCCTTGACCGCCCCCTTCCCTCCCCTTCTTTCCTCACACCACCTCCCCCTTATCCCCTTATCCCCCTCTTTATCCCATCCTCTGGCTGCATGTCCGGCCCTCTCTCTGTGGGGCCAGGTGGGCAGACGGTGGCCCAGGTCTGCAGTAATTTTCCTCCTGACTGGTTTTAATGTAAAGGGTAATGTGAGAGGAGACAGGCGCGCAATGTTTTAGCGTATATATTCTCACACACACATACACAACCACACAAAAGCTGGATGTGTTCCCCAGCATCCAGCAGTCCATTACCAAGAGGCTCTACATCCTCTTTATTTATTTCTTCTTTGCTCCCACTGTTTACTCTCTGGAGTATTTTCCTCAATTCTGGGTTTTATCACTCCATCTCCTCGGCTGCGTATCTCCAGCAGAGCAAGGAGCACAGGCACACTGGCAAACACACACACGGGAACAGAACAAAAATGAAAAACTGAAATGCTTTGAAGTTAGCCTTCTCTGAGAAAAGATCCAAAACAATCCTGCTTCTGTGAGCAGAAAACTTGCGCTCCAGTAAACCTTCAGCACCCCTGGTAACCTTCACCTCTTTTTCACCCAGAAGCATCTGGTTATCACTATCACTCACTCTCTCTCTCTCTCTCTTTCACGAACTCACAAACACACACTCTGCGTACAAGCATGCATGCACACAACCGTCCCATTAACATCAGTGCTTTCGTAATGGATGTGTTTGTGGTGCTGCTGTGGGAGAGAGGAGAGACCTGAAGTAGCTGTTATAAATCACTCGCTTGTTCCCCCCCACCCCACCCCCACCCCCTATCACACACTCTCACACACAAGACGCCTATTGGTATCACTACATGGAGCTCCCATTCACTGCCTGTGCAGCAGGGACACACTCTTTTCTCCATACATCCACCTCCTCTACCGCCTGGGGTGGGTAAATCCTATTACTCTATGAAGAGGAGGAACACATCATTAATTACACTCAGATACTCTTTTATACACACAAACATGTATTTATGCCAAACTGGAGTGCAACACGCTGAACGCTGCTATGCACGCCCGGCCCCAAACCCCTAAAATAAGCGGTAGCTATCATGCATGTACGTTTCTTTTTCAGCTCCATCTTGACAGGTGACATTAGAGCAGAGGTCCTCTATCTGATGCCTCGAATACACGCTCACACTTACACACACTTCTCAGGCCTCTGCTTCAGCGGGGAACATGTCAGGATGCGGGAGAGAGCAAAGTTATGATCACCAAGAGAGATTTCAGGCAACATGGACAGATCAGGGACTGTCAGAGCGTCACACTTAGATTTATTTGGCTTCTCAACAGCCTTTTCAAGGTTTGCCAGATAGATGGGTGCCATAAAGTGATATACGCAAGCTATAAAATAAATAGGGCAGAGGCAAGCCATGCATAGCCGGGTCGGTCTGACCAAGTGTTTATGTACCCAGTTGGGCACCTTTAGGACACATTAAGTCACATCTGTCCACTTTGATGAAGAGAAACTTCAGATGCAGGTTTTCAATGTATCCTCCTCAGTCTTGTTCATGTCTTTACATAAAGAATTGAGAGGAAAACCTATGTGTTTGTTAACGTCTCACCATGTTAAAATCACAACGTTGCATTTGTTTAAATGAGATTGAATGCATAATTGTAAACAAAGGTTGCAAAATTTGAAAAGTTAGATGCACATTCACACTCTTCTTTCAGATATCGCTAAATAAAATGCATTAGAAATAATTTTCGTGAGAAGTTGTCTGATTAGCAAATTTATGGGTAATTTAGCATTAATATAAGTGCGATATTCAAAACCTTAAAGGGAGAAGTTGTGGGGTGGTTTTAACAGGGTGAGGTAATTTCATCATCTCTTGTGTGTTCTTGTTCAATCTATTATGGCTGAACTACAAATCTATTAATCCATGACCATCAGGAGTCCATTAACTACAGAAGCAACCAAAGGGTCTATGGTTAAAAGAAGACAGCAAGACCAGTGTTCAAGTAAGAATTAATTGTAAACTACTGGGACAAGTTATTTGCACAACAACACTTTAATGCAGGATGACAAGAAGAAATTCATTGTAAAAAGAAAGTCTTAAGAAGTCTTATTTCAAGTTCTACGTCTTGGAAGGGAACACAGTAATGTGAAGATGTTCTGGAGAAATTAGGGTTAAATCTTAACCATAAACATTTTTATTACTTTAGATTGAAATAACTAAAAATAATGATGTGAAGAAATAAAGTATCTTTTTAGATAGAATATGGCTTGATGTAACACACCATCTCCAGAGACTCCTTCTCCTACCTCCTGTTAACTCCTAGCTACTATTCCTATACTGTTTGTGTAGCAAAAACATTATCAAGGGTAGGAAAGGAGGTTCGGACTGCTGTGCTGAATATTGACAGCCATCAGCCTTACAGATGTCATTACACAATGGAGGCAAATGAATAATGGTGGTCAAATGGGGAATTCAGCCTAGAACTATTAAAAACAGACTAAAGCTCTCCTTTGAAAAACCCAAAAGATATAAAGGTGTGTATATGAGCATGTGTCACACCCAGGCTCGGACTTGTAATCTCTGATACCGGGCAGTTGCCCGGTGGGCCGGTCCTAATTTCAGCATGTGAGGGCTGGCCCTCCTTAAATAATACCTGCCCCAACACTTATCCCAACACTTATTTGTGTATCTGAAGCACCTACCTGTGACAGTAAATAACTCAAGGAGCTCAAGAAGTAATACAATGTTAAATACTTAAGCGATGCATGTACAGTAGTATATAGCCCTTCCTTGTAATGGTCATGGTCATATGGTGTAATTTTCCATTTCTTTAAACTGTAAAATCCTATTTATTCAAGCTGTAAAATCCTATTTATTCAAACTGTAAAATCGTTGCAACAAACTAAATTATAATAAAGCTAAATTGCTTTCTTTTAACCAATCTACAGTGTACCTCTTATATTTGGCACATTTATGTTCAAATATTTTGCAAAAATATGTTGCGGTGCATGACGGGGTTTTGCTTCT